TCTCGCGAAAAGTTCCAGGAAGATCCAATTCCTCATCGTCATCTAAGTTCGACGAATCATCTACTTCGGCTAAAAACCGCTCTTCTTCGGCATCAGGTTCTGGAAGCCAGATGGAAGACGGAAACCAAGAATCGAAGAGATGGAGGAGAGAAGTCCGATGAACATAGAGGGCAAATGAAATAGGCATGTCTAGGTGCGGAAATGGCAAAAGGTGTATGTAAATTGTGGCGACAGCGTCTTTCCAGTGTGTCATAACAACCTCAGCAGAGTTGAACACGTCTTTAGTAGCAGGATAGATCGAGGAGGGGTTGGGCTCGCAACGAGCAGAACTATACATGACCCTGCATCCTGGCATCAAGGGTGGAAGCGCTAAACCGAGCGCTGGACGAGGGGACGAATCTTTGACGGATTCAAAATAGGCTGGGGTTAGGGGGAAGAAATCGAGTGTAGGTGTATTGTTCGTCGTGTTCACAAAGGCAATCAAATGTGGAGAAACAATGAGGGGTGACCAATATTTTCTTGAAAACGAAGACCGCTGAGCATGTAGTTAACCTTTGATTACAGGACGTATAGAAGAAAATCACTAACCAGCATCTCTTTTCCCGTCTTCCACTCCAAAACACAAAATGTGTCCATCGGTCCACCCGGCGCCAAAGGATTGCCGGTATCATTGTTGAGTACCAGCAGAACTAGATATTCACCCACAATTTCGATCCCCACACTCGGAGCTCTGAATGGCACCGCATCGTGTGGAGTGTAAGTCTCAACAAGAACTGTGCTCTCTCTGGCCTGCGGATGGGGCAAACCCGTCGAGTACTCCGCGAAAAAGAGGATGAGATTGGTTTTGGGACCCTGACGATCCAAGGTGACATACGCGACCAAGTCATGTTCGTATATGGATAGCCCTAGGTCGACCACTTCGCGATTAACGTCAATTCTCTTCCATTCGGGAAGACCAGGATGTCGCGTCGAGAGACTATAAAGCGTGCGTCGCGTGGAGTCACCTATCAGAATCGTCAGCCACCACCTAGCCATAAAAGACATTTAGAGGCACCTAGCACATAGTTCCCACCGCATAGGTCGTAGATGCCTGATACTTTACCAGGCAAAGGCACGTTTACGGCGCACCTAAAAAGTAATGCTTCACTGCCCAAAATCACAGAAGAAACAAATTGAATAAAGTACCTTGGTACCCCAGAAGCCCATCTAGACTCAGTAACTTCAAGATACCTCAAATTTTCGTCGAGACTCAGGCAAGAAGCTGGATGAAACTCCGCGGAGTGTCGAATACACTTTTCGAGAGCCCGGAGTTCAATTGACTCCGCAATAGCGTTACGAAGAAACTTGTTTGTGCATGATAATGCGTGGATCGAAGATATTGACAAGTGCGTGAAAGTCCGGATGAGCAACTCAAGAGGGAGGCTAAGCAAAGTCATTTTTTGAGATGATAGTTTCCGCCAAATCCAAACCATTGGATCCGGCGCTACTCTTCTGACTTCACTTTCGCTCTTCACATTCTCAGCATTCCTGAAAGGACGTTTTGCTCCATTTGTGCTAGGAATTTCTTGTTCTCATTTCTTATCACGGCTTAGATACTATGGGCTGCAAACCCATTGCCTTCGTAGCTGCACCGTAACGGGGTTTATCATTCAGATTTCCTTTTTTTCTAAAAAAAAAATAGGCAGATGTGAGACGCAAAACCATGCAGAAACTATATTGAATATATTGATGAGAAGAGCTTTATAGAATATTTGAGGGACTTGGCGTATGAAAGCAAGCCTAACGGTTGGGGTGAATGGATTCCGTGACGTCAAGGAACTCCAAAGTTGTCCGATTTTCCGCCAACAGGGTGGCTTCTTCAAATAGGGATAAATTACCCTAGTATAGTTTGCTAGTGTGCTCTATTCGAATGGCACTCAACAGCACGCAACGCATTCAAATCCGTGACAATGGCACACAGATTGACCTGTGGGCACGTAGGCACTCAAAATCTCTTACACGCCCCGTTCTCGTGGTCCTTCGGTTTACAAATCACTTCACTTTACTCTCCGATCCAATGATCGTCATTATTTCATTTAAGTTTCCATGGCCAAATTAGATGGGTACGTTTCAAGGCATCCTACAAGACTACTGTGAGTAATTGTTGACGCTGATAAGCTTTGGATACAACATCATGCAAACCCACTTGATTGCATTCAAGTGGCACGCAGGGCTCCTAGCCAGCATACAAAATCCTGCTACCCCCACTGGATCATTTGGCTCACTCTTGTCCTGACAGCTATGCAGGAATACCATTGGGAAACAATTGAAGTGACAGTTGTTAACCTAACCTATATGTGAGTCCTGTTTATTGATTGTGTTAGTGAAGCAGTCATTCAACCTTTGTGGAGGTGTCTTGGCGGCTTCGTTGTTGCTGTATGTCCCATCCTTTCACCTTTTGCTGTAGTCCATCGCATCTCCTCTCCAGTTCTCCATGTTCTCCCTTTTGATCAAAGAAACCCTGTATATAAATGAGGGTGAGTTATTACCCCCTTCACAAATATTTTCTATAATCAACCTTAAGTGGTACTCGGAAGTTAGTCTTCTGATTCTATTGAGCGAGTCTGTTAACGATACTCAGCTTCTAATTAAGCTGCATTCGGTATCGCTATTGGACCATACAGTGCAAATATATTCGATCCTCGGTCTTGGGGGGAAGAAGAACGACACATTAGTCTTGAAGTCTTTCGTATCGTTTTATGCACGTTTTTTTGGTTCCCGCCTTCGAATTGTACTTTGGTCTAACAATGTCCTAGCAACCGGATTGTTTGCTATTGGGGTAGACCTTCCAAAGTCATATATGGCTAAACACGCCAAAAGCTTGTTAGCGATGGTCGTTCCGGTGCGTACAGCAAGATCGTCAATTTTAAGAGCCTCACAGTTTTGTTAGACCATGGCCATTGGATGGATAATTGTAGCAGCGGTCCTTAAGGCACTTTTCCACAACCTCAGCGTTGTATCATGTCTGGCAATTGCAGGTTTGTCCATAGCCAGGATCTCGCGTCGTGTCTCCACGTTTCACAGCTTGTCTTACACCGACCGATCCCGTCAATAGGTCTGTATATACCGTTCGTACGCCGCCATTTCTGACCCTCTTCCTTCCTCAGTGCTGCCATAGTGGGTATGTGCAAGATCACACAAACAGCTCACCTTCGCTCATTGAGAATCAAGGTGGCAAATACGCTGTCAAACATGTCCCTCTGAACCTTCGTCGAATCCTCTCAGCAGAGAGCGCTGCCAATGACGGACTTGCTTATCCTTTTTTGACTATTTGCTTGTTTTTGACCGTGAACCCGAGCACTCCAAATGCCGTCGCGGAGTGGTTTGTCATAGGATGGCTGTATCAGGTCATCATGGGAACTGTGCTGGGCACTATTATCGGTATTTGCATCTCGCATATGTGTGCATACTACTTATCACTAGCTAGGCATCATTTTCTCGAAACTTCTCAAACTTTCTAATTCGCGTGGAATAATCGACCGCGCGTCGTACGTTGCTCAATATATTGCGCTGGTTTTTTTGACCATTGGAGTCTCCTCCACCCTGGGGTCCGATGACCTGCTTGCTGCCTTCGCGTGCGGTAGCGCCATCTCGTGGGATGGCGAATTTAACATGCAAGTAGAAGGCGAACTTTTTTCTTCTGTCATTGAGTTCGTTCTCAACTGCTCAGCCTTTGTATACAGTATGTCTGATTTTCAAATTGTTTCCGCTTGATAATTCTTCCACCAACTATAATGCCAACAGTCGGGGCGTGGCTCAATTTTGCAGACTTCAGCAACCATACACTTGGCATCTTTCCTTGGAAACTTATTATCCTTCTTGTTGCTATTATTGCTCTCAGGCGCATTCCTGCTATCCTTGCTCTCTATAGGTACGATACAGTGCCGAGTGGCGGACGGTCACGGATTGTCCTTAGCAATTCTCTAGATATATCCCTGAGATTAGCGATTGGAAGGAAGCCCTATTTTCGGGTCACTTTGGTCAGTGTAGCCGTAAGCCTCTCATCGGTTCCATCTTATCACTTTGATTAGGGCCAATGGGTGTAGGCGCACTTTTCATCAGCACTCTGGCCACGACCAAACTCCCCACGCCTCACGATCCACCTCAGGGCCAAGCTGAATTGCTGAGTGCCATGATGCAGCCTATCGTTGCTTTTGTAAGCCACAGAACTGTCTGGCTGCTCTTATACTAATAATTGGATTTTAGATTGTCTTATCCTCGATTGTCATTCGTAAGCCCTTGCGTTAGCGAGCGATATACTTTGCGACTTAGTATTACAGATGGACTTTCCATCCCCTTCTTCTCCTTTGGCAGAACCATGAGCCGCCAGCTGTTGCGTTTGTGAGCTACTAGACTGTCTGGCAGGTCTTTCACTGATGGTTGCGTGCTAGATTGCCTTATCCTCAAATTTCAATCGTAAGACTTTGCACTAACGAGATGTTATACTCTATACTTAGTCTTCCAGGCGGAATTTCCGTTTCCTTCTTCTTCTTTAGCAAAATCATCAGCTGCACGATGTCAGGTCGTACTATTTCACTTCTGCCTCGATATCCAGACTGACAGAGCCGAACTTCTCAAAGGGTGGGCCCATATAACCAATAGTAGATGCTTCTTCTGCCGTCGGTCCACGAGACTGCCTACGCAAACGGTGAACTGCAACGTAGGTAATGGCTTCCTAAAGAGAGATCGTAGAAGGAAGACCTTAGACGAATACACGAGCTGCCACTGTAATCAGCTGTAACATTAATTATTACTATATCTCAAAATCAACATTAAATATACAGCCTGGTAGGTTCGCTGCAGGTACTTTGCTATTGAAACCCTTGAAATTATGCAAATGGATTGTGCTACTATTAGGCACCTTGTACAAGATATTGTATTGCCCTTCTGGCATTAGTCTTTATAGAGTGTTCCAGTGTCAGTAGCAGGAAAAAGGATTATTCTATCTGTCCAAAAACTCATGGAGACGGAGGGATTTGAACCCTCGACCTCTTGCATGCAAAGCAAGCGCGCTAACCACTGTGCCACGACCCCTTACGTATTTAGACAAGGTAGAATTATTTAATACCGTAAAGTTACTTTGTAATGAGTAATCCAACTTCTCCCTTTAATTCTTTTATATGGAGTATGAATCTGTGAAACTTTCCACTGAGCTAATTCTACGGAGGGCGAACATTCTTTGCTTTAAATTTATCATGGTGCTGAGGAAAGTTTTGCGCGTTGTTCTTCTGCAACGGATACTTAGTACGTGTACTTTCACCAATGGGTTCATGAAGCAAAGACACCCACATCTTGTTAGCATTGATGGATGTTACTGACTTTAAATTGAGAAAGTGTGGCTGCAGGCGCCGGCCCAGTTTAGATGTCAAGACCTTTCTCCGAAGTCCATCAGGACTTGAATCCTTTTTGCAATTCCTGCTTGCCATGAAACGATGACGGCGGCTTCGACATTTAGGCTCGCTTTTTCGAGGCGACTGAACTTCCGCGGACGACTACTATGGCGAATCTATGAAGATTGGTGCCGTGGTTCCGGTCTTTCGTTTGCAACAGAGGACAACCCTGAAGAGACACATGATGCCGTCCTTGCCCACTTACTAGATTCACTCTGCAAATCCGACGAGCGTGTTCAACAGTTTGGCGACGATGGTATGCTAATCTTCCCTTCCCGGCCCAGCGTAGCCGACGAGTGCTTGGAGTGGCAGGCGATCCAAAAGCCTCCGTTGGTTTATGCTCGGCTCGTGGCATCTGTCGCTAGTGAATTTGAGGTTCAGGTCGCATTGGGCGACTTTGTCGACCTCAGCTCATATTTAACTCCTCTCGACGCCTGCAAACGACCTTTGTTAACGGGCGCGCCGATCCAATTACTTCCATGGAATATCCCGGCTTTCTATCTCAATGACTATAAGGGTGAGTAAGCTAATTTTCTTTTGAATCTACTTCCTCTGAAATTGGGCTCCTTAGGAACAACGGAAGCATTATCAACGCTCAACTTACAGTTCCTCTCAGCCCTTCCTTCAGGATGTTCATTCCGTTCGGAACAATTCGTCCTTGCATGCCTACTCCTTCCAGAACCGCACTCCTCTGGCTCTCAGGCTCTGCATCAGACCATCGTTTTGACATATCCGCGTTCTCTTTGTCTGCTCGTCGATCACCCCTCCCGTACCCATCTTGCGAATAATGAGATACCTCAGCTACCAGATCAACTCCAAGCCAGTCCAGTTGCTTTTCCTGCTGTTCCCAAGGCAAAGAGCGAGACATGCTCTGGCACTCATCCCGTCGGTTCATCTCTTCTGCCTGTCCCCGCCACCTTCGTTACTAGTCCCCTGGATGCAGCTACAGAAGAAGTGTCGAGCTTCGTCCAGTTTCTAGTCAAAGAAAGGGAACGCCTTCGCACGGCATCGGCCCCACATTCTAGTCCAGGAAGATCTCATTCACTGCTGAACGCCATACAACCAATGTCAAAACCTGACGCAGGGTTTACGGCCGGTCCTTCGTCCTTCTACCCATCACCTGAAACCTCGTCACCATTTCAGGCAACGCCAGGACCAATGATAAGGGAGTTTAGTCCTTCTATTTCCATTCCCAATGCCCCAAGTTCTATCGTCCGACATGAAAACCCTTTCTTCAACGAGGAATGGTTAGGAATAGACTTAGATTTCACCCAACTTAACCCTTCTATCCTTCCGGAAAATACTGCAAACCCTTTCTCGCACAGTCATACAAGTACATCCTTTGATACTCCAGCTGCTTCCACTTCACCGTACGTTGTAAGCGCAGGGACTACCGGCCCCTTCCCACCTGTAATCGCACACAATGCGCCACAAGACGACTTCACGCTCACAGATGATGACTTCTCTTTCTTTGATGCACCTCCTTCTGCAGCTGGATCGACTTTCATGGCTGCCCCCACATCTTCCAACCCGTTCGCAGCAGCTGGTCTAGCGGTCGATGCTGTGATGCCTGACTTTGCCTTACCCGCCTCTGATCCAACCATGACCATTGATTGGGCGTCTACTTTTACCGTCACTGCACCGCTGATGGGCCCCGAAGTGTCCACTGTTGGTTTACCAACTCCGCGTACACCCGAGAAAGACTGTGCTAGCCTCCCGACCCCAGATCCCAGAAATACGGTCAATGTGATCGCTCCTGCACTTCCAGAGCCTTTGGGGAATGACCCCTTCCAGGCCATTGTTTTTAGTCATGAACAGAGAGAGAGAGACCTCAAATACTCGAGCGGCAAGTTCGGCGGGGACCTCGGGTTGCCGTCTCCTCCGAGTTCTCCTCAACGTTCTGTGCAGCCTTCTTCTGTACCATACTCTCAGTCCATCAATAGGCGGACCCTTCAGTCATTCTTCTGACATTAGATCGAGCTGGCAGTCAGCCTACGACAGCAGAACCGATCCCAGAATTCGCATGGTTAAGTTTTTGAAGTCGCAAAGTGCAAAAAAGAAATCCTTACAACTTGCTGGCTTGCCTTGGACCCAAGAAGGTGAGGAATGGCGTGTGATCATAGATTATGAGATGGAAGATGATGACTCGTCGTCCTCGAGCTCGGACGAAGAAGATACAGCCAGTGGTTCTGTTACGCCTCTATCACCTCTGCCTTCCTATCTACCCCCAGGGCCTTCACTTATCTCGACGCGTTTTCGGTATGAGAACTTACAAAGCTTCCTGAGCTCTTCGGCTCCAACGCCCGTTGGTATACCCACTCCCATTTCTCCCAGCAAGGATGACTCGTGGTGAATTTATATCCGATCGGACAATCCAGACGTGATCGTGGGCTGTTGGAGAAGTGGGCGAATCTCGTGGCCAGAGAGGTCGACTCTTTCGAGGCCGTAGTCCCAGATCAGACAGAAGAAATCAGCATCCTCAGGGACTTCGACATGCACTGGCTCCAGTCTACTTTGGAGTCATCTTTAAATTGGACAACTGTTGCATGCAGTTAGTGAGCAGCTGGTTCAACGTGAGTATTCCTTCACGATCACTCGGACTGTGTTCTAAGGCATGATTCATTTTAGATCCTTCCGCCTACTCTTGTCTTCGAGCACTCTCAGCATCCCCCGTTCTACTGTCCGTTCCACGACAGAATGCACTTATGACCATTGGTCCGTCATCACTCCGTTTTTGGGACAAGCTCGGTCTTGGACCGCGTTGGGGTAGGAAAGACGTTAGGGTCTGTGTTGCGTGGGTGAATGCTGGCGATCAGAGCTCGGTCGATCCTCGAATTCATGATTGGCTTACTGCTCTACGCGCAGAGTGGGAACGGAGTAGTTTTGGGACAATGAAGTTTGTTTCAACTTGTCCAGATAACGGCGTTTGGTCTTGCACGTCGGATGGTTTACGTGAGACATCTCCCATTACATGATTCTTAATTTTCTAAAACCGGTTATCTAGAGGACGTTGTGGACGGTCTTCGTGCCGCCCAGTCCTCCGAGTCTGAGGATTGGGAGGTTCAATGTCCAGTATTACTTCTCATCGCTCTTCCCGACACTTCATTGGATTCCGTTTATAATCCAGGCTTCCCCTCTCATCGACCTCATTCGTAACACAATGAGAGCGAACCTCAACTTCTCACCCAAGATTATTCTTCACCTCATGTCCCAAGTCAAACACTATCCGGCCTTCGTCTCTCAACTGTTCTTTTCTTCGTGGCTTGTCTATGTTGCTGTATGATAAAATTCCTTTCGTGGTCAAGCGTAGGACGAGCGGACGGAGGGTTTATCAGAATGGCGTGCTTGGCAATCAGAAGGATGTAATGGCCTACAGCGTCACCCTCGCTCCTGTTGTCGAGAAATGGCATGCGAGGTTCGACCGGAATGAGCGGGCAAGTCTCGGTGTGGGCACCAAGTCCAAGTGGATCTGTGTTGGTTACTCTGTTATTTCACTCCATGCGTCGCTTGATGCTGAACGTGCTGAAATATCGCGGCCACGGTTTCTTGTGGCTTCAATTGTTGATTCCTTAGGCGAGAAGTCTGACGTGTTTGTTTCCCTCTGTCCATCTGCCCTAGAGGAAGCTAGAGGAGAAGACGAGGCAAGTTGGATTGTGAGGACGTTATGGGACTGGATGGTTTCCTTCGTCAAGGATACATGATGTTGAGTGGAAAGTTAGCTTTTCCAGACTAGGCCCATTGTCCCTCCGCGAGAGTCAAGGTATGTTATGTTGTTTCCAGCATGGCGCTTCAGTTGCTTACACTCATTAGCCTGGACGGAACATTTGAAGCAACGCATTCATAGCGACCTTGGGATTCTCAAACATACGAGTATGGATCTCATTCACGGAGGAGACGTCCATTTGGGGCACTTCGTTCGAAGATGATGATACTGCCATGGACATCGATCCTCAGCCGGCTTTCAGCAAAACTATAGATGGCGGATTAGTCTTCGCCGAAACCTCGTCAACAACCTACCTCGTCGATCTAGATCGCCAGACCATGTTACATGCTCCGATTATCGTCAAAGAAACTGCCAACATCATATCCTCCCTAGCTCAGCCATTCGTCTCCCCCTTGTCTTTTGACTTGACATTGCAGGACGCACCAGCATTGATGCAAATAACGTTTTTACACATTTCCTCTCCTAGCGGCAGCCCGGTCAATAGATTGCAGAAGAGCTCACAGGTGAAGCTATCGCTTGTTTCTGTGCACTGCCATCCACAGACAACTCTCCCGCCATTGCAGGAGGAGGACGAAGCAACCGAGATAAATGACCTTGCTCAGACATTCTGGGCGTTATCCGTTCTCGCACAGGCGAGATTGCAGTTTGTGTCTGGGTTTGTCCAATCCTTGGACCAGGAGAACTCCTTACCTCTTCATCTGTCTCAAGTGAAACGCATTGGCAAGCTTCTTTGCAAACTTCGCTGATCCTGTATTGTAATTGCTTGTCACTTTCAGGTTGTTCCTCTTTCTCTCTCTCACATACATACATACATACAGCTATTATCGAGACACTAGTATTAATATGTTCTTCTTTTTGGATCCAATTTCTGCGTTATCATTGTAACTACTACGTTCACATTTGTCGAAGCACCATATTCT